CCTGCATCTCCCAGACAGACGACCTCTGCCTTCTACTCAGTGCTGGGTCCTGCACAAAAACAGGTTATTGCCACCTTTCCCTGGGCAGATGGCAGGATTAAAAATGTGGGGAGATTTCCTAATCCAACCCACTGACAAATGTCTCCTGCCTGGTATCAGTCCTTCACTAAATTATAAGCATCCCAAGAATGGAAATTTATGTTCTCTATATCCCTGCATACCTGGGAAAGTATCCGATATATATGGGCCCGTCGGTAAATTATTATAAAATTGACTGAACAGCCTAAATCTATTAACAGAAAAGTAAAGAAAAACATCTAGGTAAATAGTAGAAATCACTACCTGCCTAGAATATGCCTAGGCTAAGGACTATTATTTAGGGTAGTACAATTACAACTATACATTTGATATCTCAGATGGCTTCTTCTCCTACCAGAATGCGCATCTGCATTTCCCTACTTCTGATACACTAAGGAATGAATAAAGGAAAGTCACTGCAGAACCACATTTAAATTCTATAAAAGCATTTCTGAATGGGTATCCTAATCCTCAGTCTCTATGCAAGCAAGCATAAGAAAAAAATTTCAAGGCAATAAGCTACTTACATCGGTTGGTATTTATATCTGAGAAGTCTGATTCTTTTGGGTCAATATGAACATTTCTATTTCTAGTGGAGTCTTCTCTATTGTGTCCATAACGTTCTTTCCATTCCTAGGAAGGAAACACAGGTGAATATATAACAAAAGAACTCACAGGCAGAAAATAATTGATCAGTGTCAACAGATTATATATGTAGATTAATATAACTCTTTTTCATCAGATAATCAGCATAACTAGCACAGTGATTTTAAAAATCATAGCTTAATAATTTTTCTTATTTCTACACAATTTTAACAGTATTCAAACTTAACTTTTACGGTTATTTTAAGATATTCAATGCTTTTTGGCTCTCTTAGTAGATGACATGGAAAATTTCTATGGATTATCACCTCATTGCAATTTTGGTGAACTGTGGAAATTTTTCATAGAGAGGTGAACTCTCTCTTCAGTAACTTCCACTCTTTGGTTCTAGTTATGCCTCTGAAATGAAGAACAAGTCTCTCTTTACACGACACACATACAGGAAGACCACTACTATTTTGTCTCCTGAGTCTTCACTTCTCCAGTATAGATACACCCAGGTGTTGGAAACTTGTGGTAATTTTGACTAGATTTTTCTCATTTTTTGCCTTTTCACTCTCTAAGAGGAAGTTAGTTCACCTCACCAAATAGAAGAGTGAAGAAAAATTAAAGAGGAATAAAATTAATGTCATAAAAAAGTATAATTATAAAGCAATCAAAGTCACTTTCATAGTAAGATTACATGAATTGTTTACTGAAAACCAACCTTAGGCAAGACACTCCTAGATGTTGGACATGAAGTAATTTATTACTAATGATTTTTTAAAACGTCTGACAAGACACCTAGCATTTACACCTGAACTATTAAAATTACCTTTCTTTAAAAATATGTCCTATGTCTTTCCCCACTATTCTTTGGTCTTTAGCCAATTATTCTAATCAGTAAGATTCTTATATTTCACATTTATCTTTAGGTTATAGCAATTTAATAAGTACTGTACTTACTCTTCTTCGATTTTCACCTTCTTCTTGCCTTTGTCTTTTTCTCTTCTCTAGAGACAGAAAAGTGGTCTCAAATTTGGTATAACACGGTTTAATTAGATGTAGAGTAACTGAAGTAAAGGTACCAGGCTATGACCAATTTCCTTTAAATTACTATAAAGTCAAAGGTAATAGGTTATTGTTGGAAAAAGCTTCAGAGATCACCTAACTCCAGAGATCACCTAACTTCTCTACTGTTGTTGGAGACAGCCATTTAAAGGCTCATTCTGAATAGCTACAGTGAGGAAAAAGTTCTTCCTCATGGTGACTTGAAATTTGTTTCCCTGTAACTTCTCTTTTCTTTATGTCCTATCTTCTAAATTAAGTTCATACTTCTTTCTGTATAAGTATCTTTACTCTTATTCTCTCCTAACTATATACTCAGTGTTTTGTTTTTTTTTCTCATGAGACATGCTCTACAGACTTATACTTCTGGCTATCCTCTAAATACCTTCTGATTTATGAGTCTTACTCGTGAAAATCTTACCCAAGACTGGATATGATACTCCATATGAGGTCTAATTAATGCAAAAGCAGTAGAACTATTACATTAACAAGATGCCACCTTTCTATGAGAGCTATGAAGGCTATACCAGCTTATATTAGAGCCACAACACATTTTGGCTTACATTTAACTATCACACCAAAGCCCAGACCCAAGTACGGGGAGTGTCTAAAAATCAATGACCCCAAATTCAAGTTCTGTGTTTCTTTTCCCCTATCCTACCATCACTCAAACATCAGGAAATTGGAATCCATTTTGAGATTAGATTCTAGCAGAGTGCCATGGATTCTAACAGGTTGTTAATCATCACATTCTAAAAACCAGCCTTGGCTTGAATGATTTTCTATGCAGTATTAAACTGATGATTCTTTAAATTAATGAGTTTTAGAGTTGTATTAAACTTGGCATATCTGTTTCAAAGTGAACATTAAAATAACTCCGACACTATACAAGGGCATTCTTTAGTTGTAGACATACTAAATAACTTCTGCTGCAGAATTTCTTAAAGAAAGATGAGACAATCATTTATGTTTTCAAATTATTTTTGCTATGAAGGCCTTATGTAGGTTTTCAGCTAAAAACACATTAATTTGTAATTTCTTTAAATAAATTAAAACTTATAAACTATACAAATATTAATTTTGTATTTTGAATTTTAGTGCTTTGCCTTCATTTATTTTAAAAGACAAATCTTACCTCGTCTAATTAATTCTTTTCCTTCATCGACTAAATCTGATGTCATATCATTATCTCCCATAAACTGCTGGAAACCAAGTAGATTCAAACAACGAGTTCCCAAACTAATAAAAGGATATTTTCAAAAAGATAAGCATTACTTCACATTATAAATATGTAGTATTATTATTTATCATACCAAGATACATAGTTACATTTGTCTTTAAGAAGTACTTATTTCTAAGAAGTTTATATGCCCAGTACTCCACTGACTAGAGTATGTACCACACCCAGATTTCTTACAGAAACAAATTAAGTTAGGTCATTAATATACCTTCAGAAAATTATTATACCAGGATTCGAAACAATAGCTATAATACAGAAGCAATTTATTCTTTTCTTACATTCAAATAGCAATATTAGTACTGCTAATTCTGTGACTTTAAATATTCCCTTACCATCCTCATATTCTTGTGAAAACACTATATCCCAGGATGAGAAGCCGCAAACTAGATAACTGTCTTTGGAAAGGTCTTAGCTTTACGTAAAGTATCAGGAAACAGCCTTACACTCTCTAGGTGTTTAATTCTGAAAATTAGCTCTAGGTATGGCTATATTGCTAGTATTATGGGAATTATTTAAACTAAATGTGGGAGCATTTCAAAAAAAAATGAATCAATGAAAGTCAAGTTACCATTAAGATGTCAGCAAGGCATTGTTTCATATACTTCCATTAACAGAATATCCATTTTAAGAGATAATGTGAAAATTGAAAAATATAATCTTTTTTTTTTTCTTAAAGTTTATCCTAATTAACTCTAAAATAATACTTTTAAGGAATTATTTTTAAGTTTAACAATTTCCCTTTTAGACATGATAAATCCTTGTGTTTAAGATTTTATAGTTGACAAAGCACTATCCCATCCGTCTATTACTTGATCCATATTAACAATCTAATAAGGTAAGAGATGCTAATCTTACCAAAAGAATTACTAACATGAGAAGACATAACTTATACATAAGCTTTTAATGTTCCATTAATAGTTTATAAATTTTTTAAGTGAATAAGCATAAATCAAAACTTAGTTTTGGACATCCAAAAGATGATTGTTCTCTTCCTTTAATACATAATCACAGTATAAACCTAAATCTTTTCGATCTTATAGAAAAAAACTCAATAAATTTACTATCATTTCATATTAACAGCTTTAAATTTTAATCTTTTATCTCCCTTATGAGAAAATATAGATGTTTTTAAAAATAAAAGAGAATTTATTTCAAACAATACTTGTATGTTTACTTGATATCTTAATGTGAGTACATACATACTATTGATAATATGTATGTATGTCACATTTCTTCACTGTCAAGCAGTGAAGAGGGTGGACAGAGTACAGGATGTGGGTAGAAGAGCACCTGACATGGGAAGTAGGTAAAACAGGGCTCTCAAAGACAAGTACACCTGTCCTTTAACTCCTTTTTTGTGTTACGTCTGCCAAGATTCTACCACTTTTCCTAATCCTATAAGAAGAGCAGCCCATGTACTTTCCAGCCTTACTTGCACCATCTGATTACAATTGCTCCTCACATGACCTTTTGTGCTGGCTATGGTCTGAAGCACCCAGAAACCCAGCAATGATTATGGGAAAGGCCCGAAGACTAAATTTATGTTACTGGATAGAAGCTGGGCATGGGAATGTTTTATAAGCTATGTTGGGTGTCAATGGCAAAGGCCAGGATTTAGAGTTAATATTCTATAATTAATCCTATTACTTTGCAGCCTAAATAGTTATAATAGAATAACTCTTCTTGAAAATATCTTCAGAGATCAAGCAATCCCTTTAAATTATCCCCAGCATCCTCAAAGTCATAATAAAACAAACAACTAGAACCCAACCAGTGAATATTTAAAAGAGCTTCAAGAAGAAGGAATATCCAGATTAGGCTAAGAGTATGTGGAAAAATAAGCGACATTAAGTTTCTTACCTAAAATAAGTAGCAATGCAGAGAATTACCACCAACATAGGATAATATATATAGAATCCATCTGCAATAAAGGATAAAACTTTCATGGAACCCATAATCTGAGGAGCAAGAAAAAAGTAAGTTAAATCATTACAGTTCTATATTTTTCATTCTTTTCCATCATTAGAAAATTCATGCATAACTGGTTATATAAATTTGGACTTTTCAAAAAGCAAAAATAAAGGACTACATAAGCTGATTTTTAAGTTCTCATCACAAGAAGAAAACTATAACTTTGAGTTGATGCATGCTAACTAAACTTATTGTGGTAATCATTTCAGCATATATACATATATCAAATCACTATGTTGTATATCTTAAACTAACACAAATCTTAAATCTGTTTATTTACTAAGGTTTTCTCTTAAAGAAAATTAATATTTTATAAATACTACTGAAAATTATATACATTGACTACAGATATAAAAGTTAATATTAGTATAAGTCAGGTCTATTGATACTATTCAACTGGATCACCTATGTGAACAAAAAACCTTTTTTTATAATAAAAGAAAGCAAAGTCACTTTTGTCTAGTCATTAGTAATTACACATACAACCTTTAAAAGAAAGTTTTGGTTATTAAAAAAAAAGATTCAATATATATAGAACTATATATATAGAAAAAAAAGATTCAATGCAATAGAACTTTTCTGTGTTAAAAGAAATTTCACAATAATAACATCCCACATAGACAATGAATCTAAAGAACTCTGTTTTCTGACCATACTTACAGATGTATAAGCAGTTGGCTGCGTATTCCGGTGAGAGATGGATGAATCCATATGTGTCAAACCCAAGAAATTAAGACATAAAGGAGGAGTCAAACGGCAAAATAACCTGCAATAAGCATTTATAAACAGAATATGTAAAAAATAAAGCAGCAAAATACATTTTATATTATATTGAAATTAATCAGGAACATTTCACATTACTGTAACTATTATTTTCACCAATCTGTATTATATATATTTTGAATTATTAATGTGAACCTCCCTTATTACTTGGGTGACTTTCTGAAAATCCTATTAATCACATCTTTCTTAAAAGCATCAACATCTACAAGGCAAAACTCCAGTCTCAGGCTGCCTGCTTTGGTGGTTACCACTGCTTTATCCCAAGAATTTGTGAAATGCCTTTCTATGTACCTCTTTCAAGTCTACCATCTGTGCAATCTGTCTCAGCAGCACGACAAGGATGGTAACATTCTCAAGGGGAATTGCCCTCGTTACATAAAAGATCTGAAGTTTTATCATCAAAGTATAACACTTTGATAACTAGAGGTATAAAGAATTGTTAGAGCTCAGTTTTGTCCAGATAAAGAGAGAATCTTACAGATCTACAGAGTTGAAGAAAAGGGGAAGAAGAAAATGAAAGGAGGGTGTGAATACAGAGGTAATATGAGGAATGCTTTTGTGGTGCTAGGACAGCTGTGTGTCTTGATCGTGGTGGTCATTATAGGAATCTAGACAGACACACACAGAAATAAAGGATAAAAAAAACTGAGAATTAAATAAGGTCTGTAGTCAATAGTAACATATCAATGTAAATTTCCTGGTTTTGATATTGTACAAGAGCTGTATAAAATGTCTCCATTGGGGGAAGCTAGCTGGGTGAAGGTTAATAGGACTCTGTATTGTATTTGCAAATTCTTGTGAGTCTATAACTATTTGGGAAAAAAGGTAAAAAAAAAAAAAAAAAGGTCTTAGAGATATTTCATATAGTGATTCTTCTGTGACTCTAAGTCCAGCTTTTATAAATATTTAATATGACTAATTTAACAATATGGACAAATAATCGATTGTATAACCTAGCCAAAGCTGGAGCCGTCTCTCAAAACTCTTGCTAAAGCTCTTAGTAAAAATTACTCCTTTTGGCTTCCTCAGTCTTCTACAATTCAGTTTGAGGCCACTGAATCTTGAAATACCCTCTAGGTCTCACTTAGTCTCTCAACTCTCAAATGTTCCTATTTTCACTAACCTATTTATTAAATCTCTAATTGGTAAATCCAGGCTATGTCCTTCTTTTCCTTCCTAATCTAGCATAGGTATTTTAACCCAAAACTTCAAGCAGGATTTATCTAGCAAGCAACAAAAAACTAATTAATATTTAAACCCAATCGATTAGCCCAGGGAAATACAGGTGTTGGTGGAAGACCCACAAACAAGAAATGAAAGCGAAATCCATAAGGATATATACAATGGAGACATTTCCCTTGCTTCTAAACACAATCTACTTACATGCCACTGAAAAGAAGGCTGTAAGCATCGGTCTGGTGATGTGAAGCCAAGTAATAATAGTTAAATACACGAATCCTGAACACAGTAGAATAAACACAGATACTTAGGAAGAAGATGGAAAGGAAGCAAGCAATCTGAAAAAACAAAAACAAAGTAGATTAACACTAACGGATTTTATATAATGGACAATTTGGTGACAGCCAGAGGGGAGGGGGGCTGGGAACTGAGGAATGGGGTGAAGGGTTAAAGAAGTACAAATCAGTAGTTGAGAGTTGGTCACAGAGATGGGGAGCTCAGCATAGGGAATGCAGTTAGCATTAATATGATGGCTAGGTGGAGGGTCAGGGGAGGGAGGAAGCAATTGGGGGATCGTTTTATGAACTATATAGATGTCTAACCAATGTACTACAGTACTTGAAACTAATTTAAATAAATAAATTTTAAAAAATAGACAACAGTTTTAGTACTTTATGTATTATCACGAACATTATCCTTTATTTCCAGCTAACGTTTATTGACATTCTAAAATTTAGAGTAGGAATTTTTTTAAACATTTAAGATAATGAAATTACGAAAAAAATCTACACTTCAATCAGTTCTACATCCAAGCCCTAAATTGCAAATCTACCTCCTGAAGTGAGTCTATTCTCTCATTCCCTTGGCAACTCTTCATATGAAGACGATAAGTTAGGTAGCTTCCCTGGCACAAAGAGGATCAAAGAATTCTCATAAAAGTATTTTGCACTATTTTGCATCTTCTTGTCTCTCCTTAAATACAGTTCTTAGTTTGTATGGTCTGGGTAAATTGATAAGGCTCATTTTTGGAAGTATGAATAATAACACTGTGAGAAACTTCACTGCTTTCATTATTACTAGAAGAAATATATGGAGAAAAGGTGCAGCAGTTAAGAATTATACTATGAACTGACATTTATTTATGACAGATATAAAATAAACTGACCTCAATATAAATATAATTGTATGTTTTTTCAGCCAGCTGTATAAAGACTGCAAAAAGGGATAAGACAGGTGTAGTGCTAAAGAATGTGCACTCTGACCACACAACAATCACAGAGAAGATGGACAAAACCACAGCAAGTATTCTATGAAACCATGGTCGCAAAAGACATTCCCAGTACCATTCTGGAAGATAAAAGAAAAAAAATGATTAGGGAAAACCATAAAGGAATAACAGTGTATTTACATTGCTTCAAAATATCTCCATACAAGATATGTAATTGCAAAGAGAAAAATAGTAATTTTACAGTGAAGGAACCAGGGAGACACCATCCTAACCAAACGATCACCAGTAATGGGACAAACATACCATGTACCTCCTGCTATGATGCAATGAGAACACAACATCACTGCTACAGTATTCCTAATTATGAGAAAATATCAACTCAAATTCAAGGACACTCAAAACAAAACAAAACAAAACAAAAAAACAAAAAAAAAAACTGGCCTGTACCCTCCAAAAACATCTATGTCATAAAACACAAATGGAAACTTAGAAATTATTCCAGATTAAAGGAGACGAAGGGTACATGACAGTTGAATAAAATATGTGATCTGGGATTTTTTATAAAGAATATTACTGAGACAATTAGCATCTGAATAAGGTCTGTAGATAACAGATTGTATTGATGCTAATTTCCTGATTTTGATCATCGCAGTTGGTTATGTAACAAAATGTCTCTATTTTTAGAAAATACACACTGAAACAGGAGTAAAGAGGCATCACATTTGGATTCAATTTTGAAAAGATTAAGGAAAAATATATACACAGAGAGAAAGGTAAAGAAAATGAATATGGTAAAATGTTAACATTTGGAGAATCTGGGAGAAGGGTATATGGGAATTCTTTATACTATTCTGGCAACTTTTTGTTAAGTCTGAATTGAGGTAAAAATAAAAGTAAAAAAAAAAGAAGAAGCAAGCTCACAAAATTGAAAAGGCTATATTTCACTTCATTCATTGCTGAGTTAAGCTTCTGGCTCACTCTAAATCTTTTCAATTATGCTGTCAGCATAATTAATTCCTGATACTCCTTTCAAAACTCTGGTCTTCCATTTCCTAGCCCTCCTCTCCTCCAATGATTCTGTCCTCCATCCTATCTCAACTGCTCATTCCCTAAACCTTCTATCGCCAATAACTCCAACGCTTACTCATAATCTCAACCCTTACTTATAATCTCATCTAGCAACACCTTCATCTAGTATTCCAACTCTACTGACTACCTCTACCTGGACCAACAATCCATTTATTCTGCTTCTTTTTTATTGCCACTTAACACCCTGATGTCCTTTCTTTACCAGCTCAGATTCAATGGACTTTGTGAATAATCACTCTTCAACATCCCAATTCTTTTGCTTCCTCTTGATTCCCTGTACTTGGCTAAACTGAACCACACCATGGCTACCAACTCCTTGGCTACCCCGAGTCTGCACCCACGAACTGTAAATTTCAGGAGTAAGACACACAACTTGTTGACTCATCTCACTTGAAATTCTTAATCACTAGCTTCAAGTGGTCTCTGAGCATTGCCTACCTAGCCTACTATAATCCACTAATTTTCTCCCATGCGACTAATCTCCTAAGCAACTATTTTGCAACTTTTCTTTCTTCGAATCTCCAAAATCTCTTCCTTTATACTTACCCTCAGCACTTCATTGAGAAAATAGAAGCTCCCCAAATTTCTACTACATCTTCTCACCTGCTCAAGTACATTTGGGCCTTATCTCCTAATCTAAGGTCTTTCTTGTCACTGTTCACTTATTTCCCATTTCATCTCTCCTATATACAAACACTGTCCCAGCCATTTTCTTCTATCTCATCAAATTTCCTCTAAGATATCATTTGTACATGACTTGCTATAATTTCTCGACTTTGCCATCCTCCTACTACCTCTTGTCTCTATTCCCTTTAATAAGGAAAATATTTTGAGAGATGTCTATTCTTAATGCTTCTACCTGCTCTCCTTCTTTTAAACTCTAGATTTTTTTACCTTTACTCCACCCTCACTTCTCTGAAAGCCAATGTCATCTTAATATTCATGATAATCAACCTACCTGCAACATTTGAAAAGGTACTTTATACACCCTTTTCCTCAAAACACTTAATTGTCCTGGTTTTCCTATTTCACTGGCCATTCCTTTTCTAGTCTATTCTGCTGGTTTCTCCTTATCAATCTGATAGTTAAATTCTGGACTGTCTCTGGCTTGGTCTTCAGATTATCTCTTCTCCATCCCAATCATTTATTGATTTTGTCCTGGCCCATGGTCCACCCATCCATTGATGACACCCTAATTTATATCTGCAGACCAGATTTCTCCTTTGAACTCCAATTTCTAAAGCCAACTACCTACTCAGCATCTTATTTATACTTTTATGTGTATGCTGTCTGTTTTTCACTCCACAAAGGCAGAAATTTTTCTTTTTTGTTTAATTACACCAAGTGCCCGCCGAAACATAGCACACATGAAAACAGGTGTCACATAATTCCCTCATTTAATTAGAAAAGATCTTCATTGAAGAAGTTTTCTGATATTTGTTATGACCATTATGTCTTCATACTCAAGACCAAACATGAAAAAGAGAATCAAGTGAACAGAACCATTTATTTGCATACATGAGGTAAACATAAGTTTTAATACTGTGACACTGATATTTTTATTAATTTCTTTATATTAAATTTGAATAACACTGAAGAAAGTGTCAAATAATCATAAAGGAGAACAGAATAATTATGACTATTGAGTGTAGGTTTTGTAAATAAGATTAATAAATGTGAATAAATAAGACTTCTTGGGGAAATATTTTAGTAGTATGTCAAGACTGAAGGAGAGACCCAAGCTTGTGATATAAAATTACTTAAAATTCTAATTATTTTAAGTATATATTAGGTATACAAAATATGCTTAACATATTGCATATATTTTTGCATAGAATTTTGATTATCTGTGAAGTAACAGTGGAAACTAATATATGTTATATGACAAGTAAAATAATTTTGAGGGGGAGGAGTTTATTAGATACATAATATTACCAAATAATATAAGTTAAATAAACAAATACAATTCAACTCTGCATCCTTCAGAAAAATTATCATTAAACTTCGAAATGTATATCAAATTACATACCAACTGTAGGATTATAAAAATATTGGATAAATCTATTTTCTGGCTCTGGAGATTGAAAGGTGTGAACAAACTGATGAGTAGCACTAGTTTCATTTTTTGCTACATCTTCTAGATAAAATGCTTGTTCCAAAAGAATTTGCCATTGTACTTGAGTTCGACGGTGCCTCTGAACTGAATAAATAACCTAAAAAAGAGAATAAGAGGTATACGTGTCAGTGTTCTGATCCAACAGTAGTTCAACTCCCCACTAAGGAGCATGTTTTGGTTGTCACAACAATGGGGAAGTGCTAGTGGCATTGGCTGAGTGGGGCCAAGGATGTTAATATTCTGTAGTATATGTAACAGTTATGTTCAGTGAATAATTCTCCCTCCCCAAATGCCTATAATGCCCATGTCAAGAAACATAAAGTTAAAACATTTCACTCAGAATTTATTTTTTGTAGAAAGTAATTATACTTCTAATTAAAGCATCAGTAAGTAAATTAGCTATAACTAATAATTACCTGTTTATGTAGTTTCACCAAACTTTTTTCACTTGGGTAGGTATTACGCTTTTCATCGAAATCTTCATAATCATCCATGTTCCTACCCATTTTTTCCTGATACTCTGTAGGGCACTAAAAGGAACAAGTAGGTTTTTAAAAATCTTATTTGCAAAAATATAAAAACTTTATTTTTATTAAAAATCTTATATACTTGGACATTTCTAATTTTCTCAAAAATATCTTCCATTATCGTCATCTCTAAATAGTTGGAATTTTACTTGCTGACTGTTTTTGAAAATGTTTTAAAAGATGCATTGAGTTTCTTCTTCCCCCTATTAATATTAGTCTTTGTACTCAGATATACTAGCTCAAGCCAGGTAGGGAGGGAGCTTACCTACATGAAGCAACTAACTAGTTTTTGAGCAGATTATTCTAGGTAAGCACCTGCCTGATAAAAATTGTCAGTTATTTTCCTAGCTAAATAATGATAAAGAATCATAACAAATACAAGTTGTTGAATTTTTGAAAAGGATAGTACAGAGAAACAAATACATGATTTAGAATCATCTGCCCTACTATTAATCATTTCTTATCTATACGAAATTGGGCAAGTTAGTTAACTTCCTTGAATAGGTCTCGAAAGGTAGTAAATGTGAGATCAATGATTAGAGAATTGATTCTCATGACTATCATCTTAGCCAAAAGGAACACTAGCTAATAGTCAACATAAAAAGATTTAAAATATAGGAAAAGATAGTTCAGTGGTTCCACAGTTGCAGAAAAGATAACTGGAGAACTTATTTTTGGAATAATCATTTTTAGAAATATATGAATATTCCTAATTCAATAACAGTACATCAAAACCTTAATTGTATGGCTTCTTATCAAATATGTTATATATCTCATAATGTCATTCATTTTACGATTAAATGACATGTAGGAAGCTGACTGAAATAGATTAAGACCCTCGTTTATTTTCTTATAGGATATATGCCTTTCCTGACCACTTTAATGACACTTTTACAAACTGTAAAGGTCCATCTCCATCATTGTGTCATGGCAATCACTATACATTACTTAATATAACTTCTATACCCACACTTCAATGAAAAATATTGCCAACAATCAATATTAAACTTGTAATAACAAAGGAACAAATTCTATGCACATATTACTATCGGTTTATGGTCAATATGTCCATAAAAATGGAAAGAAGTTGAGAAGACTTTAGTCACAGGCTGTTCTCATACTTTTCTAATGCTTTCATCATAATATTATAGAAATTTATATTTTGAAGGAAAATATGTGAGAATATGATTTAATTACCTTTTTAAGTATTGTGTCAACACATTTTCTCAGTGGGTGGTTATACTTGATGCTTTCATTCACTTTACGAACCTCCTATAAAAACAGTAATAGAAATGAAAATATTTCCACTTCTATAGATCAGATATTTCAAATGAGAATGTTCTAGGTACTGTATACATATATTCTCACGAGTTTAATTTCAACCCAAATTACTTAGCATATACATGAAGTATCATTTATTGAATAAAAGTTCTCATGAACACAAGTAAAATATGTACAAAGTTATATAATAGCTATATCTATACCCTAGATTTACTCCTTTATCACTTGCTTACTTGGTACACAAGGATGAATAGCATCATAAAAAAGTCATGAAGGATCAGACAAACTTTGTGATCCTAAAAGAAAAGGACTGTGTTCCTTTACTTTGCTCATCAAGCTGAATTATCTCATAACCTAAAATACAGTGAAGAAACCAGAAGAAGCAGAACAGGTCACCAATGTCACAAAGCACCTGCTCCTTTCCAATGAAAGAATACTCCACAGAAATCACAACTAAGGAGTCATTCCATATGTTTATTAAAAGCATGCTACAGGCCAGCACTGTGCTATATGTAAGGTCACCACAATCCATACTAGAGGGTAGGGTGGGAAGACATGATGTTATAGGTCTCTAAGATTAGTGTCTAGTGATGAACCAATTAAATAAGCTATTGCATGAGTACGAAAGGTATAAAGGGGTTAGGGAGAAGAATCATGAGAAGCAGTAGTTCTAAAAGAATCAATATTCTATAATATTAATGAAATTTTTAAAATGTTGGAACCACTGTTCTAGACAAAATAAATGACATGTTCAAAGGCTGGGAAGCAAGGCAGAACTGACCAGAATATTAAAAAAAAAAAAATTCTGATTATAGGGTAGAGAATGGCCTTAGGGTATACAAAACTGGAGGCCGGGAAACCATCTGGCATATAGACAAAGTTATGAAAAAATATGTGTAACTTATATTACAAAAAATCATTACCCTTAATATATGGAGCGCTCTTGCAAGTCAACAAGAAAACGGAAAAACACAGAAGAAATACAACTGGCCAATAAATGTCTGAAAAGATATTCAAGCTGGCTAAAAGCAATTACAAATTGAGAACAATTCTTACAAAATTATAAAAAATTGGTATTATGTAATGAGGTAAGACTGTGGGGAAACACGTCCCCACAGACAACAGTAAAATGTGGAGGTAATTTAGCAATATCCATCAAAACTATAAATATGCAGACCCTATGAATAATCTGTACCAAAAGACATTGCTCCTATGAAGGAGCTTATTAGCTTAATGAGAAAAATACATTATTCAGAGAGAAATGGTGAGGAAACTGCTGTATAATTTAGTGTGGGAGACTTCATGATGAACTGATTATAGAAAATGAGATAAACATGAGGGGTCAGTCCATCAAAGGAAGGGACAAGAATATTCCAGTTAGAGGGACAGCATGTACAAAGGGCTTCAAGCAGAAGTGAACAAGGACTTTCGAGGAACTAAAAGAAGTCCAGCGTGAGCAGAGGGAAAAGAGTAAGGGCCTGAGAAGTACTTGCCCAGGCTGAAGGAGTAAGAGCACAGCATCCAGAAGTCCTTATGAAGTCTATTCTGTGATCACTGAGTGAGGCCTAACCATGGAGTAACAAGGTAAGAATTGGAGTTTTCAAAGGTGCTTGAAACATTACAATTTTCCATTACTAAGCTGCCTTAAAGTTTTACTGGCTTGCCAGCACAACTTTGAAAATGAACTATACAGTCTGGTTATATACTATATATGAAATATCATATTTTTCCTTTACATTCTTTAGCCATATTAAACCAAAATTAGTACTGAAACAGTTAACTATTGATATTTGCTATATTTGTATTAAAATTAAGTTTCCTTTAAAAGTTCCTAATTTTTATAAAGTGTGGAAAGTATTTGAAATATTAGCTTATTTTCTTCATATAAAACATAATTTTGAGCTCTGTCATTACTGTGCCTAATCAATTTACTAGGCAGGCCAGACAACATCCATCAAATTGGGCTAATAGGCAATTTTCAATAGAAATAAATGGCTGATTGTCCCTCTCCAAACTCCTCTACCTCGAAAAATGACAAAAGGTAGAGGTGATTTCTTAGGCCATCTAGCAGATATCTTTTGAATGGTCTGATGGCTTTTAAGTTTTACTCATGCTTCAAAGAAAAGTAATAGATACACGGATGTAAACATTCACTTCAGAGAGAAGCATAAACACACTAAACTGGTTTTTATAAAATTGCATTTGGAAGATTCTACGGAGAGTTGAAAAATATAATAATTAACTACCACTCCTCTCCCCACCAAAAAAGGTGATTAAACTTTGTGGTCTTTTAAAAGATGTATTCAAAGCCCATGTAGTTTAAGTTTTCTCTCAAAGTAAATTATTCATATTTTTGCTCCATGCTTTATTCTGCACACCTCCATCAGACTGATCATCCTACACCACAGAATCATGTCACTTCCCTGCTTGCAAGGTGTCGATGATTCCTCACTGCTTTTGAATATAGTCTGGACTTTTCAGTCTGACATTCAAGGCCCTACTTTCTGTCTACAACCTATCTTTCAAACCTCACAAGTTTTATCTTTCCAACATAAACTTTATACTCAGTTAATCTGATTTAAAAACCTCCTGATATCTGACTGGAATGCTGCCAGTTATAAAAAATTCACCCATCCTTCAAGACTCAGGTCATATTTCACCCCTTCCTCTGATCTCTATTCATAACTGAAATCTCTCTATACTAGGGCATCCCCTTTGTATAATTCATATCACATTTACCCTAAACTATAAAGGACTGCACAGTTCTCCACTCCAGGTAGTTAGTATCTGAATGGCCAGTTCTGCATAGCACTTAACATGAGAAGAAGACAAAATATTAAATAATGAAAAAATTTTCTTTTCAAGTTTATAAATTTTCAGATATTCAGAAAACCAGAAAAGATCCCAAGTTCCCTTGAAATACACAGACAAAAAAATTCATACCTGAAAAATTATACATTTTTAAAGGGCAGGAGAAGGGGCTGGAGTTCTGCTATCTATGTGGACCTGTTGCTATTTTCAAAACATCCATTAAGAAGAACAGTTTCTTACAATATATAAATGTATCAAATTAACATTTTATATACCTTAAATTTACATGATGTTACATATCAAATATATTCAATAAAAAAAAGTGGTTTCTTATTTACATGGAAAATTTTCTCCTAGCTAAAACTTTTTAAATCTCTCACAACTTAAATCTATACTAAAATAGCAAAGAAAGCATCAATGCCAATCCTAATTTTCCACATTCTATTCCTAAGTAGAGGCCTCTTACTCACAACAACAACAAAAACAAATCTATCTTTATGCAGACAATGAAGACTCCTCCCAGCAAAATCCAGACCTTAAGTAATAAATTGGATTTACATTCGTTGAAGGAATATTGAATGAGCTGGTGAAATCCACATTCCTCAAATCTAAAATGATTAAATTTGATACCAACTTTTGAGGGGAACGCTATCAATTTAAATTATCTTCTTTTAATTATTTTATTATCAAATAGAAATTTTCAAATATTTTTTCAAAAAAATTCTTGATAGATGATTAGATAAAGAAGATGTGGTACATACATACAATGAAATATTAGTCATAAGATGAAATACTGCCATTTGTGACAACATGGATAGATCTTGAGATTATCATGCTAAATGAAATAAGTCAGGCAGGAAACGTTGAGAATCATATGATTTGACTCATATGTGGGATATAAAACTGAAAGTAACAAATGAACAAGACAAACAAAAAAAAATCTCACAGACACAGACAACAGTTTAGTGATTACCAAAGGAAAAGGGGTGGGGGAGGTAGATAACGATAAAGGAGGTCAAATATATGATGATGGCAGATTTGACTTTGGGTGGTAAACACACAATGTAATATACAGATGATGTATTATTGAATTGTACACTTGAAACCTATATAATTTTATTATCCAATGTCATCCCAATGTAATGGCCTGCTGAAATGTGAAAGGGTTAAAGAATAATTAAAACCTGAAACTGGACAAAGGAAGTCTATAACTTAGGCTTAGTTTCTGGAACCCCTAACCACATTCTGTTAATCATGAAACTTGTAACAATGAGCTCATACGCTAACTGCCAATTTTAGCCTGTGTAACCCTGCTTGCTTGCATGGCATGAAAAATAATCAATTGTATATAAGCTGAATATTACTGTTTGGCCATCGCCCATGGGAACACTGGCTACTGTCCATGGGAACATAGGCAATCACCCATAGGAACATAACATTCTAACACAAGCTTTCTGCTTCTGTACTTCCCTCTTGCACACCTGACCAGTGGGTTGACAGGTAGTGAACAGGAGAAAGATGGACCTTTGTGTTTAAGACAGAATGAGGAATGGGATTTGGGGCTTAAAAACCTTGTATCTTGGCATTTCGTGGCTGCTCCTTTGCAAGGACAGCCACCGGCTAATAAACTGTCTCCTGGTTAAGAGCACTCAAGTTGGGTCTGGTTATTCTGGACACAACACCCAATAAATTTAATAAAAAAAAACTTTAAAAAAAGGTCCTTATCACACTTAATGGAGAAACACTAAGACTATCTCACTAAAGTAAAAATCAAGATAAAAATGTAGACTATTACGTAAAAAAAAAATTCAAATTTTCAAATATAAAAGTTATCAAATATGAATTATCTTCTTTTGAAAAATGTAATAATATCCATCATCTACCTGAGGAAATGTAATAGATTACTATTTATATGAGATATACTCCTGCATTTTGAATCAATGTTTTCTGCTACAGTTCTTACATGTCATAGGGAATAAATGCTGAAAAGTCAACATAAACATTTTCAATCACAGTACACATTCTTTTGTTCATTTATTTACTCACTTAAAAATGGTTGCCAAGTGTCTATGAGTCTGGAAGACCAGGGAAGGTGTTATGGGTTAAATTGTGTCTCCTCCAAAATTCATATGTTGGGAGTCCCAAACCCCAGTACTTCAAAATGTCATCTTATTTGAAAATAGGACTATTACAAATATAATTAGTTAAAATAAGATAAGGTCATACTGGAGTAGGGTGGGCCCCTAAACTAATAAGACTGTGTCCTTATGAAAAGGGGAAATTTGGACACAGATAGGCACACGGGGAGAATACCATGTGAATATGAAGGGAGAGATCTAACAAGCCAAGGAACACTGAAAACTGCTGGCAAACCACCAGAAGTTGAGAGTCATGGTAGAGATTCTCCCTGTAGTTCTTTGAAGGAACCAACCCTGCTGACATCTTGATCTTGGACTTTTAGCCTAGAGGACTGTGAGACAACACATTTCTGTTGTCTAAACCACCCAGTTTGTGGTACTTTGTTATGGCAGCACTAGGAAACTAATACAGAAGAATTCTCCACTTATGTTGAGACTTGAAAATAAAATAGGAATTAGCTAAAGAGAGTGGAGAAAAGAGCATTCTGAGTTTGGGAATCACATGCTCTAAGACAGAAAAGAGAAGCAATGAATGTAATGGTTATAGTAGGGGTTGGCTCACCAGATCAAATCTAGCCACATGTCCTTGTTTGGAACATGTCCTTGCTCATTCATTTATATACTGTCTATGACTGCTTTCATGCTACAGTGACAGAGGGGTCACAACAAAGACCATGTGGCATACAAAGCCTAAAATATTTACTAGCTGGTCTTTAACAGAAAGTTTGCCAATCCCTGTTAAAGCATGAACTAAAGTCAGACTACCTAGCTCTATCGCTTACTAGCTGTGTGAATATGAGAAACTTAACCTGTGCCTTGTTTTTTTTTTTCATTTGTAAAATGAGGATTTAAAGAATCCTTCCTAAGGCTGTTATGATAATATATTAATATATGTAAAGTTCTTAGAAAGTCACTAGTAAATAAGTAAGTCTATATACTTGTTTGCTATTATCACCATTAAAAAGTGTGAGGAACCAAAGGTGACCAGTATGAGGAAGACAGAGGCTAGAGATAAAGATGGAGAGCTAAACATGAGGCAAACTGTTTTTCGATAGGCCACATTAAAACATTTTGGAGTTTATTCTAACATAAATGAAAAACCTTCAACATCAGGTTTTAAGTTAGAGAGTGAGTAACATCATTAGAATGGTTTTTTCCCAGAAGAGTAAAATGTGAGGAGACTACAACAATTGCTTTTTAAATCAATAACCAAATAATTATTCAACAGTAAAATTTTATAATTTGTTGTATATTACTGAAATTTATACTTTCAACAATTTTGTGAAGTTAGTTCAAGTCACCTGCATTTTATGAGTAAAATGAAATGCCTTATTAAGATTACAGATAGGAAACAAAAGTTACTGATACAAATTCCCTTAAATATTGTTCTCTAAAGAGGTTTCCAGATTTGGTGGGATTACTTTGGGTCAAGCTTTCAGGAAGAAGTGTCCTCTGATTGCTAATTTTCACTTCCACTATGTCAAGGTAACCATATAATTTATCATCTAATCCAGAAGACTTTAAAGAGTAAAAGAGGGCACTACTAGAAGTTAACCAAAGACAACAAGTATAACCCTGCACTGTTGAATATATTCTCCCTAAATCTTTGTCAGTTAGATGATGGAGATGACATCTCATAAAGCTGAGCTGCCAATATGAAGTCATCCTAGTGGATGAGACATTCTTAAGGATTGCACATTACCAAATTTTCAGCCTAAAGCACATCAATGTGCTAACGACAAAAACAACAAATCAACAGTGTATTCAAGAGGAGACACACACAACGTGCTACTGACTGTAAGGTTTAAATTTGCTTACCTCCATGACATCTTCTAGAGTCTCTTCCGCATCTGCTTTCTCTGTCATCAACTTGGCTGCCTTAAAATAAGTTTTCATAAGTAGATAACCTCTTTTTGCTCCATTCCAGTATGACCGAGGAATTTCTACCAAACCATACCCTAACAATAACACAAGAAGAAACAGACCCCATGTATTTGCAGCAGCTATTCCAATTGTCTGAAGCTGGTTCCTAAGAGAAAAAAAAAAAACATAAGCAGATAACAGATAGGTAAAATTTCCCCACAAAAATGTGAAATGAAACTACTGTCAAATGGTTTTTCATATATCAACCACCATAAAAGATGGCTAAAATTTTATGTGAAAAAACTAGACTGCAGAAACAGACTTTAACACAGGAAACACTGCTTCTATTATAGTTAATATTAAAATCTAGGATAGTTCATGGGAAAAATTATCCTGAAGGAAACATATTTTTCATTAGGTGCTTTCTTACTCAATATTAACCAAGAAAAGCCTGAAAAAAATTTTAACTTGTTTTGAGGCAGACCCATGAAAATCTCAGGAATGCAACAGGGAGGACTATCACTATTATCCTATTCCTAAATTTTTCAGATCTAGCTCTTCACATATATTACAGATCACAAGTACAATACAGACTTCCATTTTATTGCAATGTCTAAATCTAACATTAAAGAGAAATATGCCCTCAAACTAGTCAGAAGAAAAAAGTTCACAAGTTCCCATGAAAAAGAAAACTAGATATTTTGTCATATACAAAATTTGAAAGCCCATAAAAAATCATGAGGGTTAATACTTTTAACATACAGCAATTAGACAAAGCATTAGTCTTTTGTCTAATAGCTACATTTAAAGATGTTATTCCATATTTTCCTTCCTAGTAATATGTGTTATTCAGATATTCTTTTGGGGGACTCTATAAAACTATACCTTGATATAGTTTTGACTCAATGAAATGTCTATTTACTATACCTTGGGACTGTATAAAACTATACCTTGATAAAGATATGACTCAATGAAATGTCTATTTACCTATATGAGATAAAAATTAATTTTTAAAAATGGAAATATACACAGAAGCAATGTTAAGACAATTTTTCTTACCATTCTAAGTGCAAATGTGGGTTTACGGCTACATAAATTAAAAATGCTCCAAAAATCAGCAAATAGGTGCCATAATAGATTGCATTCTCAATCAGTGCAGTTTTAATCTTTCCAGTTATGGAAAACCCTCCTGATCTTGCATACGACTGCATAAAAGGTAAAAGAATCCTAAACAGTTGGAAAAAATATGATTAAAAAACACACTTGTTATGTCTGTATAATCTCAAAATACCAGAAATACATGAACCTCAATTTTAATGTATAGTTCTTTTCACAAACAAATATGATTTTGATTAATTATTAATAACAAATAAATTGTAATAGATTGAACATTTTGTAACATTAAATTTGGGGGGAAACAAAGCACATTCCTAGGAAAGCTGCAATGACCAGCAGAGAATATAACAGTGTGAGTGACTTATGATGAGTCTAAAAGAAGGACTTTAAAACCTTTATGAAGAATTTGGATTCATCCAAAGAATAATGAGGAATCATTATTTTTTTAAAAGAATGGAGACTATCAAATTTAGTTTTCTAAAGACTGACAGGACTTCTGCATGGAGAATGGACTTACGGGGAACAAAACTGAACTATTTGGGAGAGGGTAAGGGGTGGTGGTATGGTAAAAAAGCAGAAGGAGAGAAGACTGGTTGTCAACATATTGATTTTGAAGTACCTAAGACACATTCTAAAAGAGCTGTACAGGAAGTAGTTGACTATCCAGCTTCAGAGTTCAAGAGAGAGGTTTAAAAATACAGATAGATTGGGAGTCATCATCATATCAATGGTACTGAAATAACATCAGTAGATGAATGAGATCTGGAAGGGTGCATATATAGAACGAGAAGGAAAGAAATGAGACTGACTTCTGAGAAATATTTATTTTTAAAGGAGAGGCAGAGGAAACAAGGGGAGGAGAGGCCAGCAAAGGAGACTGATATAGAACGGTAGAAATGTATGGAAGATAACTAAGGGGTATGTATTGAGTAAAAACCAGAAGAAAGTGTTTGAAAGTGGAGAGAGAAAACAAAAGTGGAGTAGAGAAGTGGGGTTAGAAAACAGAGTTCAATGGATTGAGGAACGAGTAAGCAGTGAGTAAATGGAGACACTAAATGCAGACAATTCATTTAAGAAATCTGACAGGGTAGGATAAACTATGGTGTTCATAAAGTGAAATATTTTACAGAAATGAAACAGAAAACAATACTGATACATATAACACAACATAGAAGAATCTTCCAAATGTATACGCCAAAAAAAAAAAAGAGACTAAAAAGGTACATATTGTGTAATTCCATGTTTATAAAGTTAAAAAACAGGCAAAACTAATCAGTGGCAGTAAAAAGTCAGAATCGTGGTTCCTTTGGGGAGGGTAATGGCTGGGAGAGGGTTATGAGGGAAGCTTCCAGGGACATTGATAATGTTCATTATCATCATCTGAGTGCTAGTTATATGAGTGTATTCACTAAAAAAAGCCAAACTAAATGCAATCTGTGCACTTTTCTGTACTAATTTATACTTCCATAAAAAAAGTCTCAAAAAAAATTAAGATGTGATGAGAAGTAGATCACTCAGGTAGAATATGGAAAGCTAGAAAGGGCTATAAATTGAAAGAACTGTGTGTGTGTGTGTGTGTGTTAAAGGATGAGAGAATTGTGCATGCATTGCACAAATGTAGGTAAGTATATACGTAACAGGAAGCGAAGGGGATGGGTCCATATTTCAGGAACAGAGATTAATTTTAAGAGTGACTCTTTCATTCGTGGTGGGGAAAGAAGAAAGGATGGTAGGTAGACAGGTTTGTTGGTGAGAAGCAGAAAAAGCTACCATCTGATGACTTCTGTTTTCAATGTGAGGTAGAAAGTAAGGATGTTTAAGGTGAGAAGGTAATGTTTCTAGGATGAGAAAGAGGGAGGGAGGGAGAGAACGCAAGAGGGAGAGAACGCGAGAGTGAGCCACAGAGGGAACAGCAGAGGTTTGAAGTGATTAGAAAGATATGTTGTAGAGAATGAAGAGCAATTAGCCTACAGAAACAAAGCAGGAAAAGTCTGGTAATGTTGAGGACCTAGTTGAGTTCAATGAACATGAATTTACAGGGGCACTACTCTGCTGCATGAATTTTCTGTTGCAATGTTCAAGACTTCCAGTTTTAGAGCTTATTTGCCTGAGTTGCAGATTATTTGAAGTTTAAGAGCTTGGTTGCTTTAGTTGCAGAATACCTGAAGATCTCAGTAGGGACTAGATAAAATGTGAGTCTGGAGCACAGCAGAAATACAAAGCTACAGTGGATGGAGAAAAAAATTGGAATACATCACAGCTCAATGAAACCATGGCTATAATTAAACCTATGCAGAGAGAGTCAGAAAACATGATGACCAAACATGGGACCCTAGGGAACACCAGCATTTAGGAAATGGGCCACAGAAATGGAGCCCATGAAGGAAATCCAAAAGATTGGGCTAAGCAGAGAGCAAGAAAACCAGGGTATAATGATGACCTTAGGAAGAGCAGTCTCACATACTAATGGGGCTGGAAGGTCAAGAGAGAAAGCAGTAACTAGAGGGGACAAAAAAAATATTTTTCCTATCTTCTTTTTCTTGTTTGTTTCTTTTCATTTCTTTTCTTTTAAGATGGGAGAGACCTGAATAAGCAGAAAGGAAGACAATATAGATATAAGGGAAAAAAATAAGTAACACTTGAGTAAGTTCTAAAATAATGAAAGTTTGCTGAAAAAAATACTTTTTTTTTTTACTTTAGCCCAAATTGAAAAAATTCTATCCTTCACTACCACTTACCATGTCAAAAATTGTGACGTCCAATATACTACCCTCCAGAAAATTGGCATGATTCCATCAGGAATGTAACTCCATGGTTTGAAACATGGATGCTGGCTGTTTAATGACAATTTAAAGCAAATCAATAATAAATGACTACTTATATGAATTATATAATTAATTTGTACATGGCAGTTTATATTCAAATTTTAAATTATTGACTCTAACTTGGAAAATTTCATACAAAACCTAAATTTAAAGCTGACCGTCAACTAAAAAAACACATGCAAAGAGAACAAAACAGTTTTGAGGACACAATGTTCACCTAATAGACCAATAATGCAACAGTCTTTAAAAGCAAATGTATCATGATATCAAGTCTCTGATATGACTACCCTTAAAACTGATGATTATTTCTAAAATATATACGCACTCTATTTGTGGGGTTGGTTATTTTGGGCTAGGGAGGTGGGGAGGAGAAAGATATTAGGTGACTAATTCCTGGAAACTGGAACGCTAACTAATCAGTCACCATAGCATAACTCTTGTGGAGACAGATGCCAGCATCTATATATAATCCTGTTTGAACTTCCTGAAGATATGTGTATCTGACCATAGATTCTTCCATTAATAATCAATCTTCCTAGACTATAAGTATATCCTTCAGTCCAAGGGCTTCTAATATCCACAATTGCTGCTGATCAATATCCAATTTTTAATGGTACTTAAAAAGGGAGTAACATCTACATTTTAAATTTATCCTTATTCATGTTAGATTTTAAAAACAAAATGAAAGCTACATAAAGAAGTTTGCAAATACTACTTAAAGCCTTGGAAAAAGCTACAGTCAACATTTATTAGTTTTTCACTTGAAAGTTTGATATGAATTCAATACAACCTTTTGGTAATTCGAACTTTATTCATTCTTAGTCTAAAATATGACTTCAAAAGATGTGCAATATGAAAAACATATCCCACATACAGAATTCCTCATTCTTTATTACAGCTCTGTGTATTAGGCAAAAAAGAAAATGCATGCCCCATTTTTTAGATCAAGAGAGAGGCTGGGAATTAAAATAGCTTTTGGAAGTCACATTCTTAGTAAGGGGTAGAGCCAAGACTACAAAATCAGGCCTTCACCAAGTTTCTCATTAGCATCTACAGAAAGCCTTATATACCAACAAATATTTCAAATTTACTTAAGATTTAAATTTAAACAGAATACAAGGTAACTAAAAATCTACTAGGATTTTTAGGATGAGATGGAGGTAGGGGAAAGAGGGGAAAAGAATGAGGATAAATTTTTACACATATAAAATCTCGATGGTAAAAACTGAGTTTTAAAACAATTTTTCTTCTACAATATTAAAAAAAAAGATACCTTGCAACTGGGGTAGCAGGTGCAGACAATCCTGTAATGTTGCTATTCTCAGGAGGGCTTGAGTTTGCAGCAGCATGCTTGCACCGGTTGTATATCGTCTAAAGCAACAAATGCATGGTTTAATAATAAAAATCAAAAGGTTACCAAGTACTTAGAGGATATTGGAGTGTATCAACCTATTCATCCTAAATTACCTTTCTGGCTATGCTTTTTAATAATCAAATTCATATAGTAAAATTTAAATTCAAACTATAAGTATAACCTTATATAATTTAGCTGTCTTAAGAACTAACATATCTCGAACATGCTTTATGATTACAGATGCCCTTTAAATTGTGAAAATCAGTATCATCTTACCGTACTAACATCCAGAGGCAGTATAAAGACAATAAGAAAGCAGAGATACCAAGCTAGCAGTGTTCCGACAATCACAAGTCTATGCTGTTTCTTAAAGTCTCCATATCGATGAAGTAGAAATAATGCCAGAAAAAAGACAAAAACAATCTCGAGTCCCAAAGCTGCACCACTCATTATTGAATGTTCACTCTGACCAACCAAAGTAATTCACGTACAGGACTGAATCATATCTGTAAACTGAAAAAAAAAAAAAAAAATGCAGTATTAACATAGGAAATGACCTAATGGGAATTTCCTAAATATTTATTAATAAATTAATAAATTCTTTGGAAAACTAACAGGCTTTATGATGGACTATGAATAAGATGAAAAGGATAATTCCTACTCTCAAGTTCTTTATCTTATTTTTTAAAGCATGTCTTAAAATTTCATGCAAATTTTATCTTCTGGAAAAAAATTATCTTAACAAAAATTGCACTAGTTCTAAAAATACTACAAAATAAAAATACTAGATGTGAACAGTTTCAATGCAGTGTCATTTGGAGCTTGTTTCTTAATGGTATAACTTCTAACAATATTTTTTACAAATACACTATTGACTAGATCCTAGGAAATTAAATATTTTATAAAATAAAGTTTTCTAAGTCATCCATAACTCATTACTTAAAATTCTCTAAAAGAGAGAGAGGAAGAGACAGATTATTTTAAAGCCAAGAATAGATTAAGTGGTTAAGCAATAGCTCGATGTAGGATGTACTGATAAAAACCGTGACAAGCTTCAGGATCTAGCTTTAAAAAAATATCATTCAATGTGAATTTAACATAATTATTATCTGAAAATTCCTTTATGGTTTGACTTACTTATTTGCCTGAAATTGTCCAGTGTAAGGAATATGACAATCATAGAAAAAGACTATTAGAGATTACAAAGAAAATGCTAACGTATGGCAGAACCAAATGATGAAATATTACTGAAGTATAAGAAATGATGTTTGTCAAGATTATTTAATAACATTAGAAAATTGCCAAAACATTAATTTAAAAACTAGATTCACACATTTTTACATATTACGCATAAAAAATAAGACAACAATGAAATATATACAGATATCAATAATAGTTAGGTGTAAGATTATGGGCATAAGCAAATAACAAAATCAGTTATAAACTTACTAGTAGCTAATAATATTTTTTACTATGGCTGTCAATTTTTCAGTATGATTCACAGCCAGTACTTTAAATGATGTAGATAAGTGAACAGAATTATGGATCCTTTATTCTAGTAATAAATGATTTGTTACATCTCCCCCCATACTCACTGTATTAGTCTTCTATTGCTGTTGTAAACAACTACTATAAACACCACCACCCATATTTCATAGTTTATATGGGTCAGATACCTCATAGTTTCTGTGGGTCAGAAGTTTAGGCACAGTGTGGCTGAAATGAGTTCTCAAAATTGAAATCAAGGTGTCAGCAGGATTGTGTTCCTCTCTGGAGATTCTGGGAAAGAATACATTTCTAAATTCATTCACGCTACTGGCAAAATTCGGTTTGCTATGGTTATAGGATAGAGATTCTCATTTCCTTGCTGGCTGTCAGCTGGCATTTGCCCTTAGCTCTAGAGGCCTCTTTCCAGTCTTTGCCTGTGGCCCTGTGTATCGCAGAACCCGAAATGAATGGCTTGTCAAATCCTTCTCATTCTTGGAATCTGACTCTTTTCCGCCTTTAGCTGGGAGAAAACTCTGCTTTTAAGGGCTCATCTGATCTCACTAGGTCATCTGGATAAGCTAGTCATATTTATTGGTTCCAGGAATTAAGGCCTATTTATTAGTTCCAGGAATTAAGGCATAGGGGTCTATTAGTCTGTTTACTACATCATCTATTTCTGTTAAAGCAAAACTCCTATTGTGTTGTTATGATACAAGGTTAGGCATACAGGTCCCATGAAGTTGGAAATGAAAACTGGGGTTTCCCTAACCAGATAGGAGAAAATAATAGTTTTAAAGTCCATAATCTTTAACCTTGTACCTAAATTCAAGTGATAGCAGAATGATAGCACTTTTTTTTTTTACAGTCCAGAACGATAGTACTTTCCAAGTTTCCATATGAATTTCTATAGCCTGTTTTGGTTATTTCAGCTGAATAACTTTCTGTTTGAAGCTAGGGATGCCTTCTTTTCTTCTCTATCTGATTTAGTTACTTGTATATTAAATTCATAAAATAACTGTAAATTAAAATCTAATAAAAATAAACTGAACAACTCAAGTTTGGCTTATAAAAAAACTCACTGCCAGTGAGGGCAGCAATTTGGCAATATGTATCAAAGACCTTAAAAAGGTACATACCCATTGTTCTAGCAATTCCTCTTCAAATAAAGAAAAACCAAAATGGGAATAAAAAGTTACCTACAATATTATTTTTCACAGCAGCATTATTTAAACATGAAAACATAGAAACAACTTAAATATTTGTATTAAATAGTCCAGGAAGTTTTAAATATATCCACTAGTCTCACTGTTGTCCATTGCCTTTTTGAGAAAAGCAGCCGAGGGTTTCATAAATCACTAATCCTGTTAACCAAGTAATGACTGTTGGGAGCAGAGACCCGTGCCTGAGTCAAGAACTACCTAACAGAAACACTCCAGTGCAGAGAGTGATTAAAGGAGCCCACCAAATTCCACCAGGCCAGAAGAAAGGTGAGATCCAGAGAGACACTTTAAATATGTCAAAAGAGACATGGGTGGGATCTGAGGAAGTATATATAAGAATCACACAAATATGCATGGACAAGTATACACCAAAATGCTAACAGTGGTTGTCACAAAGCTATAAAGAGGTGACTTCCATTTCCTTTGTGCTTTCTTGTGTGTGTGCTTCTAATTTTTAATAATGAGCATGTATTGTTTTGTAATTTAAAAATTATTTAAAAATCAATATAGTAATATAAAAGTAAAACACATAGCAACTAGAAAAAATTTTTTTGCTGTGGTGTTGTGATGAAAATTACAACTATTTTAAAATACAAATGTTTTATTATACCATGGTAAATCTGGGTTCCAAATATCAACTCAATTTAATAATTGTGTAACTTCATGCAATTTAAGTTGTTAAATGAGGATAACCACCTCGCACAGATTGCTATGAAGATCAAATGAGATATAAAAGTAAAACACCAAGTAGGAGTTCCAGAATAGGTCTTCAATAAATGCTTGTTGCTAATCTCTACCTCCCTCATATCATGGGCTTCTAAAAGACAACTAGTTACCCCAATGGTCACAAAGCATAGTTTTACCCTATGGTCTTTCCCCAAAAAAGCTATGAATGGATACCCATTGCTTTTGCTCTTCGTTCTCTGTGGTTACCACAGCCTGGGCTCACCCTCATCCCTATAGAACAAAAACTGATCTTTGCTCACAGAAATTGCTCCCCTTGCCTTACCTGACGAACTGGGATTACCCCCCCAGATCTATATGGTAGCCCAAATACCCCTTCATCTAACCATTGTAAAGAGACAAAACACCTCTTAGAGCCATATCAAAAAGATATATTTGACACACCAATGTCATATAGAAGGACAATGCCATTCTTCTAGGCAGATAATCAAAATGCAGGTGGATCAAAATGGATCATTTGCTGAACTGTGAACATGTGCGTTGTGCAAAAATATACTCAAAGGCAAAAGTCAAAATATGCCTCTGACCACAACAATGGTCCTAATAGTATTCCTCAAATATTAAAATAATGTTTTTACGCTAATGACAAAAATTTTTTAAAAATGCTAAAATCTGAAGGCAAATCAAAATTTAGTCCCATGTGATTAAAAATGACAAAGAGAAAGCTATCATAGGTTAGCATTAACACAACAGCAGCAAAAGTAGATTTTACTCAAAATCAAAACGCTACTTCATTCTTTCAATCAAGTTTAAGCACCTTATATGCAGGCATGTTCTACCTTTCAGTATTTCACAATACCAGTTCTAAAAGTCTTAAACATTTAAAATCCAACTCAGTCTTTTACCAATCATCGGGATATTATAGAATATTATTTTCAAATGCCTTTCATAATTAGCATGTTGTTACTGACTTGGATTACTGTTTCCTAAGTACTTATGGCTGATAATGAGTTTTCAGGCTAAACACACTTTAAGAGGAGAATTTAGAGGCTAAGAATTTGGAATTTGAAGCATTAAAAAAGAGAAAGAGATAAGAAACAGATAAGGAAGGAAGGAAGGAAGGAAGGAAGGAAGGAAGGAAGGAAGGAAGGAAGGAAGGAA